TCATCGGTGAAACTGTGGCAGCTACAACCACTGTACGACGAGCACGCGGTCATTACAGCTGAAAATGATGATGATTACCTGACCTCAGCATCTCGACTACTCATGTCTAGGCTTGAGTAACCTAGCAGTATCCCAGCTCGCGTGGCAAGTAGGCACCGAAAGGGTACTAGAACTGAGCGATTACCTTATTTAGCCTGACGACTTTCCACATTTCCCGTCTAAGGATGGTGGTGAATTCCTCAGTCAGTGCTTGTTTAGCCTATTTGGGTCCATCTCGGTAAAAGAGACCGTCCCAGACAACTCGGGTGGGTCGATAACGGTGCCCATTTTCAAAAGCTTATTCGAAGTGGATGTAGTAACTATAGTGGTATCAGATGGATCCCCTGTAACAAGGCTTCTGGTGTCACTGACCCTTTGTCGTCTTGAGATGGCATGCGACGCCTGGCCCGTGAATATCAAGCAGGTTTTCGACCGGGCAGAGGCTGCATCGACCACATATCTTCACACCGTTAGATATTAGAGCGACGCCATATGTGCAGACGACCCACGATCTTGGTATGCGTTCGATTCCGTAGATCGCTCAATACTGTCAACCCCACATGCTCAACAGGGAATGTCCCAGAAGTCCACACATCCACATACTTCCAGGCGTGTGACTGGGTGGTGAGCTCTCTGAAGGTTCCTCTACAATGAAGTGAGGTCATCGCACCTTGTTTATTGTTTCTGCTTACGCCCCAACTGACTGTAGCTCTGAATCTGCCAAGGACATTTTCTATGACGCTCTACGTGCCCTTCTACAACAGGCTAAAAGCTCATATATCGTTGTGGTTGCTGGTGATATGAACGCCCTGGTAGGTAGACTAACCGCTGCTGAGGCCCGATTGGGTGGTCGCCTTGGTTCGGACACTAGACGCACGGACAACGGAGACAGCTTACTTCAGATGTGTGCCGATCACAGGCTGTTCCTTTGCAGTACGAATTTCCGGAACAGCGGACATCGCTTGACAACGTGGTGCCCACCATCAAAC